GCTGCTCATTAGGGACGCTGGGGAGGAAATTCTCTTTAAAAAGTAACAATATAGAAGATTGAAGCATTTAACTTTGTCTTTGGTTTGTACTGCAAAGGCTTAATGAATGATGATGACAAGAGCAGGGATAGACCTTTCCCCTTTCTTGGCCTCAATTTCCTTCCTTTCAAAACAAGAAGGCTGGGCCAGGAACTCTGGAAGGTCAGGTGGGCTCTGCCACTCTGTGCAATCACTAGCAATCCAGGTAATTTACCTTTCCTAGTTTTATGCTCATGTTGCTAAGAGCATATCCAGGTGCTGTGTCAGGTTCTTTGGGTACCTTAATTCATGTCCTTAGGGAGAAGGGAGGGAGAAAGTTCAGCCTTGGTTCCCATGACCTCATATGCCATATATCAAAGGCTTTGGAGGTTTTCTTGGCTGCCTGACAATTTTCTTGGCCGTTTCACGTCCCAGCCTTGTCTGTTTGCACGAGGGGCCTCAGCAAAGCCTCAAGAGACTTGGTTGCCCAGCACAAGGAAATTTAAGGCTTTCAAGAAGCAGTTGATGTTCTAATAGCACTGGGATTTTAGCTCTGATCATGTGAACATGTTCCTAAATTGGAACTTACAAGAACTCCCTTACCTAGTTCTAGAATCAAGAGTTAGGAATGGATGAAAAAGAAGATATACTCTCTTATCTTCAAATTTCAGAACTGGTGGATAACTAGAGCACATATACTTCTTCTTATTATTATTATTGCTCTTATTATTATTATTTTAGTTTCCGTAGTAGGGATCCCAAAAAGTCAACTACAAAAATTGAAGATGAGGGAAAGATACGTTTCTTAATCATTCATTCATTTAATCAATATTTGAGTGCTGAACATGGGGTAGTCATTGAGATAATGTGTTAGTTTGCTAGGGCTGCCATAGAAAATAACAAAGATCAGATAGCTTAAACAATAGAAGTGTATTTTCTCACAGTTTTAGAGGCTAGAAGTCCAAGATCCAGGTGTCAGTAGGTCTGGTTTCTTCTAAGCCTCTTCATTTGGCTTTGCAGATAATAACTTCTTGCCGTGTCCTCACAAGGTCACCCCTCAGGCTACATGTGTGTGTGCTGTAATCTCTTCTTCTTACAAAAACACCAGTCATATTGGATCAGGGCCAACTCTTGTGACCCTATTTTATCTTAATTACCTCTTTAAAGGCCATATCTCCAAATACAGTCATATTCTGAGGTGCTAGGGGTTAAGCACTTCAACATATACATTTTGGGAGGCAGATAGTTCAGCCCAAAACAAGTACTAAATTGTGACTTAGAGGTAGATATAATAATGATGAAATAATGTTTCAGCTGATAGGGAACTCAATATGATTTCACTGCCTAATGTTATGGCAGTCTCAAGTTGTGTGACCAGAAATATGGCACAGTATATGTTCCTTTAATCAGTTTCTATTTACTTGACTTATTGGATTGACATATACTCTTACTTATTTAAGTTATGCCAACCAATGCCCATGGCACGCTGAATGCTGGCAGCCAGTGGGTTTGGGGATCTGTGCCCACCCTGGTGAGTCCCTGCTCACCAAGAATCACTTGTGTTCATTCACAAATATGGAAATGCCAATTTTACTTGTTATCGTTAACTGTAGCATTTAACTATATACTATCCAAATAAATGAAATACAAGTGCAAAAGAGAATCATTTCTATGAAAACTAAGTTGAATGTCTTAGAAACACTTGATAATGGTGAGTCACTAAAAGAATTGGTGTCAATTGGGTATGGAACAGACATGATCCAAATCCTGGCTCTGCTCCTTTCTAGGTGGTAATTTTGGGCACATTACTTTATCCCTACAGAACAGTAACATAATGACTGAAAGCAAGGACTCAGCCAACTATAAAAGACTAAAAGGATTCCGGACTTAGGCTGTTTCTCAAGTATAATGTCTTTAAATTCTTATCTTAGGCTTAGTCCCTAAACCGTAAACTCTATGAGGGCAGCAACTAGGTCCATTTTTTCTCACCATATCTAATGAATTACACAATGCCTGGTATATTGTAGGTGCTCAATAAATAATCAATTAGTAAAAGACCTATGTTAATATTGTGGTACATTTCCTCTAGTGTTTATTCTATGTGTAATATATATGTATACATGAATATATGTATACATATAGTATATATTGTATATTTATGTATATGCAGTCATGCTTGGCTTAACAATAGGGATATGTTCTGAGAAATGTGTCCTTGGGCAATTCTGTCATTGTGTGACCATCATAGAGTATACTTACACAAGATGGTGTAGCCTATTACATACCTACAATTGCTCCTAGGCTACAAACCTGGATAGCATGTTACTGAATGGAATACTGTAGGCAACTGCAGCACCATAGTAAGTATTTGTATTCTAAACATAGAAAAGGTATGGTAAAAATACTGTATAAAAGATAAAAAATGGTACACTTCTACAGGGCACTTACCATGAATGGAGCTTGCATGAATGATGAGTGAACGTGAAGGCCTAGGACATCACCATACACTAGTGTAGACTTTATAAACACTGTACATTTAGGCTAAGTATGCTTACACTAAATTTAGTTTTTTAAATAGTCTTTCTTCAGTAATAAATTAACCTTAGCTTAGTGTAATTTTTTACTTTATAAGCTTTGTAATTTGCTTAAACTTGTGACTCTTTTGAAATAACAGCTTAAAACACAAACACATGTACAGTTGTACAAAAATTTCCTTTCTTTGTATCCTTATTCTGTAAGCTTTTTTATTTAAAATATTTTTTGGTTTTTACTTTTTATACTCTCTTGTTAAAAACTAAGACACAAGCACTCACATTAGCTTAGATCTACATAGGGTCAGGATAATTGAGACATGACTGGGCGATAGAAATTTTTAAGCTCCATTATAATCTTGTGGGACTACTGTCATATATGCGATCCATTGTTGACCAAAACATTTTTATGCAATGCATGACTGTGTATTCATGTACGTATATGTTAACTTTTTTAGAAAACATTAATTTTTTCTCCTCTGCTTTTTTCACTTAACCTGACTACATCCCAAACATTTTCCCATCAGTAGAAACTCTTTTTTTTTTTTTTTTTCGAGATGGAGTTTCACTCTTGTTGCCCAGGCTGGAGTGCAATGGCGCGATCTCTACTCATTGCAACCTCCACCTCCCAGGTTCAAGCGATTCTCCTGCCTCAGCCTCCCGAGTAGATGGGATTACAGGCATGCGCTACCATGCCTGGCTAAATTTTTTTGTATTTTTAGTAGAGATGGGGTTTCACCGTGTTGGCCAGGCTGGTCTTGAACTCCTGACCTCAGGTGATCCACCTCCCTCAGCCTCCCAGAATGCTGGGATTACAGGCATGAGCCACTGCACCCGGCCAGAAATTCTTAAGAAAAGATTTTATTTTGGAATTATAGCTGGTACTCAGGGAAGTGTGCACAATTTACCACCTGTTTCCTTTAACTTGAAGATTCTAAGACATCTTGGTGTGGCTAAGGAAACGCTGTGCCTGTTAATGACATCTTTTGTATGTGTTGTTGCAGAACACAGGTTGTAACGGCTGCTTCATTAGCTAAAACAGCTTCCAAAGATCAGATTCATTTCTTCAACCCCGAAGGTTTCTTAGGAAGCCAGAAACTGGAACACTAAATAATTCCTACTAAATTCTTACTAGATTCTTACTAGGATATTAAATAATTCTTAATTCTTGTAATGTCTATCTTCTGGTTTTCTTCACTAAGAGGTTTACACGTGCCAGAAACTCAACATGACTAAAATTTCCTCTCCTGCGGTGTTACCCAAATCATTTAAGAGCATCGTCTTTGCCTTAATCACTCAAGTTAGAAACTTTGGGGTTTTCTTGGGCTTGTCCCTCTCCTGCACGTTGGATAAGTCCTGCTAATGCCATCTCTAAAAATTGTCTTGAATACCCCTCACCCTCCATTATCAGTTTACTGTGACCCTTTTCTTACTCAGACCTTCCTCATGCCTCCTGGGACTATTGCAGCATCCTCCTAATAGGTTTCGTTATTTTCTGCCTCGCTCCATCTGATTTGTTCTGTACATTCTAGTTAGCTTTTTTCTCCTCAGTGCAGACTTAAACATATTGCATTTTGATTTCCTGCTCAAAATGCTTTTAAGGGCGTCCCTTGACATAGACTGAGTTCTCACTCATTACTATGGCATTTAGAGCACTTCACTCCAACCTACATTTCCAGTCTCTTTTTGCGGTATAAAATATTTTATAATAAATTTTTAGAAAGAGTATTGTCTTTATTACAGACAGACAGACAGGGACCAAACCCTGGCTCTGCGCCTTTCAGCTGATAACTTCGAGCATGTTACTCTGCCTCAGCAGCAATAACATAATGGTTGAGAGCAAGGACCCAAGAGTCCCTCCACCTGATGTCACCTCCGATTGGTGATAAAACCCTGGGTAAATGACTTAAGCACTCTGGGCCTCAGGTTCCTCATCTTAAAAATGGTCTTTGCATCTGTATAGTGAACTGTTATGCAGATTAAATGGATCAATTCATGTAGAATGTTTACAACAGTGCCTAATATATAGTACATGCTAAATAGGTGTTTGCTCTTATTATGTGAGAACTGCTTATGAGACCTGCTTTCCACATCTGTAAAATGGGGGTAATATTACCCACTTATCACATAGAGGTATTTTGTAGTTAAGTAAAATGATATGAGATCATCCACGTGAAAGCACCTAGAATAACTTCTGGTGCAGATTATATATTCAGTTCTTTCTGTTACCCAGATTTCAACTTAAAACTTATTTCTGCCTCTTGGGAGCTTCTGAAGCCATTTGTTTGTAGCATAAATATAGCATCAAGTCACTCTATATTATAATTATAATTATATATATACACACATTCTCTATATATAGAATGCATATGTACACGTGTGTACATATATATATATTTGTATATGCATGTACTTTAAAAAAATTGTTAGCTTCTTCTTGAGGGAGGGGGATATGAATTATTTACTTCCAGATCACTAACTCATGACTCAGTGACTTTGAGTGTGTTACTCTGCCCCAGTAGCAGTAACATAATGGTTGAGAGCATTCTGTTACTGCAACAGGTGCAGATGGGTGAGGCAGTAGGTAATCATTATGAATGCAGCCTCTTGAGACAGACAAACACAGGTCTAAACCTCAGCCCTGCCCCTTACTAATCACAGGATCTTGGGCAGATTACTACCCTCCACATAGGGCTTGATGAGGAGTGAACAAGATACTCAAAACGTAAAGCACAGTGACTTGATCATAATAAAATCTCCATAAATGTTGCCTGGTAATAATACTTTACAGATATTTGTTAACCTTAATTGTTTCCTTGGGAATGCATAAGCTTTGATACCCTGACTCTGTTAAAAAAATTTTACAGTTCTTTTATTCCTTTAGATTATGATATGGATGGATGATGGAAGGAAGGATCTATGAATTTAATATTTGAGTTTCAGTTACTGGACTTTACTTCTTCCAGAAAGTCAGGCCAAAAGGTAAGGACTGAAATGGGAAGCTCTATAATGAAGGGCAGGGTGAAGGGGAACCTTCCTTATTTTCACTAATAAATAAGACAGAGAGGCCACCCTGTGATAAGGGAACAACCTTTTCTATCATGTCTTCGTTGAAATTGAAGAAACGAAATGAGCACTGACGGAGAAGGGTGACATCACCCCGTCATCTGCTGTCCCTGAAATACCACTTCCTCTTGGTGGGAGCATGATGAGACAGCACAGAAACACAGTTTGGTCCCTCTCGGAGGGACTGTCAGCTCTTCAGATGCCCACATACAATGAAAGGGTGTCACTGACGAACCTGGCTACCTAATCCTAGAGGAAAAATAGAAGACATAACATACAGAAATACATAAGACAACAGAAGAGGGCTGTTATTTGCAGACAAATACTCTAAAAGGTATTTAATAGTATGCCCTCAGCCCCATCACCACCACACACAGACACTACAATCCAATTTTACAAAAATAAATTTGTGTGTCAGATTTGTGCTAGGCATTGTTTTAGATGCTGTAGGAAATCATGGTGGGGCAAAGGCAAAGATTTGTCTGACCTAGTAATGCCCTCAAGAAAGTTTATATTCTAGTGGGAAGATAGAATTGTTCTAAGGTCATTGATAATCTATGAAATGATGCATAATAAACACATGAAGAGTAAGCAAAGAGCCATAGGACCCTGAGGAGGAAGACGTCTCCCGGGTGAAGGGAATTAACTTTTGTTAATTTATATACAAAGTCTACGAAATCAGTATGTTGAAGAGATATCTGCACTTCCATGTTCACTGCAGCACTCTTTACAATAGCCAAGCCATGGAGTCAACCTAAGTGTCCATCAACAGATGAATGGATAAAGAAAATGTGCTGTATATGCACAGTAGAATACTATTCAGCCTTTAAAAAGAAGGAAATGCTGTCATTTGTAACAAAATGAAATGAACCTGGAGGACATTATGTTGAGTGAAATAAGCCAGGCACAGGAAGACAAATACAATATGATCTCACTTATATGTGGAATCTACGAACGTTGAACTAAATAGAAACCAAGAGTAAAATGGTGGTTACCAGAGACTGGGGTTAGAGAGATTGAGGAGATGTTGGTCAAAGGGCACAGAATTTCAGTTAGACAGGAGGAATAAGTGTAAGAGATCTGTTGTGCATCATGGTGACTATATTGTATACTGGAACATTGCTAACAGAGTAGATTTTGAGTATTCTCACCACAAAAGTAGGTGAGGCAATATGTAAGTTGATTAGTTTAATTTAGCCATTCCACAGTGTATACATATATCAAAACATGTTGTACACCATAAATATATGTGTTTTTTACTTGTTAATTAAAAACTTCTTTAAAAACAGAAGCTACTATGTGGCACATGCTATGCTGGGAATTTTACCCATTTTTTTTTCAACAGAAAAATTGAATGAGGTCAGTATTATTAACTCTTTTACAATGGGTTATTTGGAACCTCAAAGAGTTTAAGTAACTTGCCTGCGTCATGCATTACCAGTAGTCAAGGTAGCACCCAGTTCCAAGGCTGTCTGATGTCAGAGTCTTGGCAGTTTCCTCTCCACTAGAGATAATAGAAGGCAGCTTTTGATTGGGGCTTGAAAAATTTCAACAGGTTGAAAAAAGGACTGTAAAGCGGACATGAAGACAAGGCTTGACACTCCAAGGAAAAGATGGTGTGTCACAGGATAACCCAACACAGTCTCATCCGTATCATCCATGTTGCCATTAAACAGATCACACACTCTTTCTACAAGATAGGCCCTGTACTTGTCCTTAAGAGATATGGGTGCATAGGACAAAAACCCATAACCTTGCACATGTGAGTCAAAATATAACCAAGGAATCATGCAGAATATGTAGTATATTCAATGCCTAATGTGGCATTGATGTGTTATGAATCATGGTTATTTTATCTAAAAGAGAATGACTGAGAATGTGAAGAGGTATGAGAAGGCACTGGCCTGGAATTTGGAGGATCTCAGGCTGGCCTTGACTACTATATCCTGACTTTGTGACTCTGGGCAAGTCACATCCATTCTCTGGCCTGAGTTTCTTCATGGGGGCAGTGAAGGTTTAATTTACATGATTTTGAACATCTTCCTTCCAGCTCAAAGCAGACACTGAGGAGCTTTGTTAAATTAATTTTGTTCTAACAGGTCTTCTTTTGAGTATTCTCCCGCATTTCTCCCCCAAGATGGCTAATGCTGTTTCTTAGAAACATTGATTGCACACCTCCACCCTACTTCAGAGGGGAGGGGAGCCAAGCAAAAGGGTCTCTCTGAGGAGGAAGGTGGAGTTGCCCACCTGCCCAGGGCAGTAAACATTCCTCCCTGGCTGTCAGTTGACTGTGGTTGGGGAAACCCAGCCTGGAAGATCTCTAAGGCTGTGTCTCTGTGCATGAAAATGACACTACAGCCCTGCATTATTCACTCAGCTACCAACTGTGTTTACAAAATAGGACTGGCAAGTTCTGGATAATTGGCCACTCCTGGCTAAAATTATAAAGTCACTATGTCACTGTGCTTCAGCACAGTGGAAACAACAAAAGGTAGAAAATGGATTCATTTGAGGCCAATTTTAAACATTTAGGTCACTTATTACCACTGAATCCCTAATTCTTTCTGTGTTCACAATAAATGTGGGCTTATTCTTGGATGGCTAAATACACAAACTAAATGATCTCTTCTGAGGTACTCCGTTGGAAGGCTGGCTACCTTGGGCTTTTATTGAGCATTTAAAAGCCTTGAGTTTCATTCTTACTTCTGAAACTAACTCTCTGTGTCATCTCAGATAAGCCACTAACCTCTTTGTGCCAATTTTTCTCATTGGTAAGATGAGGAACTTAGACAAGATCTTAGTGTCGTTCACTAGCTTTAAAGACTTTTTTTTTTTTTTTTTTTTTTTTTTTACCATTGATCCCACATTTGGAAACATTCTCATTCTCAAAAATTTACATTTATTAAGTAATAATTAATACTAGGAAAAACACTGCTTAAGTAATAATTGACATTAGAAAAATGCGGCTTTTCCTAGTATTTTCATTGACCATAGATGTCTATAATTTCTAATCGAAAGTTCTGATCACAGTAAGGTACCCAGTATGACCACATTGAGATGATGTCATTCTAGACATAAGAGAAGACACGTGACATTTTTTCTCACCTGGGTTGGGAGGCTGACCACAGGAACACTTGTGATTTCTGGAAAGATGTGAAAGGTTGGGAAGAGCTGGAAGAACCAAATTGTCAAAAGCGCAGGCAGACCTGGGTTTACAGTCTCATTTTACCATTTGGTAGCTATGTGACTTTGGGAAAATGACTTAACTTCTCTGAACCTCATCATTCTAATTTTTAAAGTAGAGATAATCATGAAATTGTATCTACCCTGACTATCTCACAAGTTTTTTCTAACAGCTAAATTAAATAATGCATTTGGAAAGCTGTTCAAAACTGCAAAACCTGAAACAAATGAAAGTTGTTACCCCTAGTGTTGTAAATATTCTCATTCCAAATATTATTAGAATATTAGACTGTAACTGACAACTTCTCAGACTCATATTCCACCATCCATCCTGTTATATGTATGAAATAATTTGACTCTGCTTCTTTCCTTTATTCATAAAGTAATTTTTTTCTTATTATTATTACCATTGTGGTAAAATTCACATTAAACTTACCATTTTAAGATGTAAAATGCAGGGCCATTAGTATAGTCACAGTGTTATGCAACTATTACCACTATCTAGTTCCAGAATATTTTCATCACCCCAAACAAAATCCCATACCTATGAAGCAATTGCTCCTCATTCTACCCTCTCCTGCCCCTCCAGGCTCTGGCAAACCACCAATCGACTTTGTGTGTCTATGGATTTTCCTTTTCTGAGCATTTCATATAAATGGAATCATACAGAATGTAGGCCTTTTGTGTCTGGCTTGTTTCCCTTAGCATAATGTTTCCAACCTTCATCCATGTTGTAGCATGTATAGAACTTTATTTCTTTTTAGAGCTGAATAATATCCCATTGTATGAATATGCCACACAGAGTGGTTTTAACTTTTGTGGATTATTGCCTTGTTTGAAAATCTGATGACGCGCACAAATACATTCTTCTCCCCACAAAACTGCATGTAATTTCAACGCATTAAAAGATACCCCCAAGTCCATTAATGTACCCCAGATTAAGATCTCCTGCTCAAGTAAGAGAACTTTTCCTGAATTCTCCTATTCATTCATTCACTCACTCATTCATTCATTCTAACTATTCATTTATAATTACTAATTGTATGTAAAGTGCTTTTCTATGGTGGAAGGCATGAGAATAAAAGTGAGAAAAAAGTGGACACTCGTGGAGCTTACTTTCTAGTGGTGAGAGACAGGAAGCAAATAAATTCAATCTGATTATTATTCCAGAAGAGGAATAATACTAAATAATAATTATTAATTACAGTAATAATAATTATTATTCCAGAAGAATAATCTAGCAAAGAGGTCTAGATAATGTTCCTTCTTCCTGTGATAGGGGCAATTCTATCTTTAAATTATGAAACAATTCAGGTGAACATATAGATTTTCTCAAATTTTTCTTTCAGAAAGTCTACAGTTTGCTATGTTTCATAGTAATCAAGAGCACAAGCTTGGGAGCCAGAGTCTACCTTTTCTATGAAATATCTGTTTCATCCCCACCCCAGAAAGTTAGTTACCCCTCTATATAGATTGTCACCTGTAAAATGGTAATAATAATCCTGTATAATTTATCCTTCTTACAACAACCCTACTCAATGAAATAAAGTATGTAAAACACCTGAGACACCTGAAATACAGATTTTGCATAAATGAGGGATCATTTGTTTACCAAACAATTGCTGATTGCCATTCTCTCCTGAAGTAAAGCTCTTTTGCATGCTGCTTAACCATGGGGAAAAAGGAAGTGTTCTGTCACATGTGTTGTTTTAGTTAGAAAAAGAAGGAAGTGGGACATGTCTTACAAGGCTGGAAGAGAAGGAGCTGGGCTGTTTCAGCCCCACCAATACTTACTGGTTGATGTTTCACCTCTCTGTCCCTATTTTGAGAATCATTCTGGATTTTCCTGAGATTTGGGTTCGTGATGTTGTGTTTCTGCCTTAAAGACAGAATCTCCCTTACCCAGCCTCTTCCTTCTGTTTTCTTTTGGGTCTCTGCTTTGGAGAGTCCTTCCCTGGCCTTGTTTTCTCCTCTCCCTCCTCAGCCCTGTCACTCAATTCCCCTTATCCTGCTTTCTTTCTCTTCATAGCATTTAACACAATTTTTAATCTCTAGTGCATAGAACAGGGCTGGGCACTAGCAGACACTCAAGGAAATATTTATTGGACAGGTCAATTTATTGAAAATCTCAGTATTCATGAATTTTGGACTTCCTGCCCACTTGCTGTTAGGTGTGGCTCAATTACTCATTTTGACCAACGAGCTGTATTGAGTGGAAGTGACAGTGTATCACTCTTAGGAAGATCCTTAATGAGCCAGGGCAAGCTATTGCTTCTCTTTCCTTCTGTTGTGTAGCAAACCATGTGTGAGATTGTGGCTGCACTGTCATCCCAAGTCCCAGAGTGACTACAATGAGTGGAGCCTCCCCTAATTTCTCGTGATGGGCATGTTACATAAAAAAGAAATAAATCTCTACTGTTTTAAGCCACAGAGCCTTGTGAGTTATTTGTTACTGCAGCATAACCTAGATTTTCTTGACTGATACAAGTGCCAACCTTATAATTTAGTGTTCTTACTCTCTCTCCACCAAAGAGATCTGGTAACACTCAACCTCAAATAAAAAACCTATGATTAGAAAAAATAGATGTGGCATTATAGTACTATTTTAGGTCACATCTACATCTAATTTATTCACAAGACATCTACGGAATGATCAGTGGTCAGTTCCTACTTCGTGTACCACACTTTAGCACTGGAGAATGAGATGAAGTTTTGGAAATCATTTCCTTCAGGTAGCAGAGGTTTCTCCACATGAGACCTCCCTACCCCACCCCCATCCCCAGGCCCTGTGCTATTTGTTCTTCCTCAGCTTCCGCTGCAATGACTAAATCTGCACAGTCTCTGACCAACTTTAGCTCTTTTATGTTCATAAGACAGACAATTATCTCAATGCTCAATTTCAGATTAATTGAAGTGTTGGTGTAGTAGGAAAAAAATAAAAGATTTTGCATCAGAGAACTTTGGTTCAATCCATGAACCAAAAACCTCCATGATCTTGAGTAAATTGTTTAGTTTTTCTGAACCAAAGGACCCCAATTACAAAATTGGGATGACAATGTGAGTCTAACCAAAACCCTTGCAGATAGATGGGTTTTGGAATTCAGAATTTTTTTAGATTTTAGAAAGGTAATATGCTGCATATGATGCATAAATTGAAACAAAGCAAGCAAGACCTGGAAAGCCCTCCAAAAGGAAACACATTACTATTTCTGCAGCAAAATGTATCATATTCAAGTAAATGGGATAAAGACTATGAAGAGGCTTTGTCATTACATGAGTTTTCCCAGAACTTTTGGTTTTCAGAGTTTTAGAAAAAGATTATGAACAAGGTATTGCAGGCCTGTAGCTGTATTTTAGGTTGTTACTATTTCATTATTATGTTATTATTTCAAATAATATGATATTATCTCATTTTTGATGTATATAAAATGAAATAAAATAATGTACATAAAAATAAAATCATGTATCTAAAAAGGATATTGTGTAGAATGTATATAAAAGGGACATTTGAACAATGTCCCCATAAAAATGAGAATTGTTATATTCTCACAGCACAGAATTAGTCGTTCATTCAATAACGTTCCACATAACATTCAAAAATAACAATAATATGCAGTCAGCATCTACAACATGTTAGTCATTTCTCTAGGTGCTGGCACTTACGTTACCAATAAATCAAGGCTGTATTTCTTCTCATCAATCTCTTTCCCAGAAGATGCATGTACTTCTGTGTAATCCTTTTGTCTTAGTCTGCTTGAGCGCTATAACAAAATACTTTAGACTGAGTAATTTGTAAGTAACAGAAATTTATTGCTCACAGTTCTAGAGGTTAGGAAGTCCAAAATCAAGGTGTAGCAGATTTGGTAGTGGTGAGGGCTCAGATAGTGCCTTCTGGTTGCATCCTCACATGGTGGAAGGCATGAACAATCTCCCTCAAGTGTCTTTTCTAAGAGCACCTATCCCATTCATGAGGACTCCATCCTCATGGCCTAATGACTTCCCAAAAGCCCCAGCTCTTAATACTATTGCATTGTGAATTAGGTTTCAACATATGAATTTGGAGGAAAACACAAACATTCAGACCACAGTAACTTTCCTACATGTGCGCACACGCAGAGCCAGACTTTTGATAGTTTCTTATGCTTATTAAGATACTTCATTATTTGGGGCTTTAAAAAATATGTCAAATAAATTAAATTCTCTACTTTTCAGAACAAAGTCCTAGAAGGTCTTCTGGTGAGTCACATTCTGAGCAGGAAATCTGGCATCGAGGCATAATTAACATTCAGGTTGCCCCCAGTTTCTATGGAGATGAGTCTAGCCCCTCAGGGGAGTAGTGATGGATGTGTAATCTCCAAGATAAGTAACTGACAGGTAAGAAATTTTTCTTTCTCAGATGCATTAATTATTCACATTCATTATTCATCAAACACTGTGAATTTCTATTTGGAAATTGGACCAAATAGAGATATTCTCCCTGGTCCACCTCCAGTAATCAAATTCTTCCAGGGACTGCTGAGAGTTTGAATAGGTCTGCTGTTTGGTCTAGTTTAGTGGCAGGTGTTTGTTTAATGTCACCAGATGATGGAATAAAGACTAAACACCTTGTGGACTACAGAAGCAAAGACTTTCATGGGCTTCATCCTCTCCAGGCACTGGTATTTCCTTCTTATTGTTTTCTCCCTCTAGAATGTAAGCTTAGTAAGAACTCAGACCTTGCCTGTCTTGTTCACCAATGCATCTCCAAGCTCCTATAACAGAGTATAGACACGTGATAAATATTTTTTTGAATGAATGAATGAGTTTTGGGTCAGGGGATGGCAAAGCCCATCAGAGTGAATGCATATATAAACTGTCATATGGGAGATCCAGCCCTGGTTCTTTAATGGGAATTGCTGTCCACACCCTTCCCTGGCTAAGAGAAAACATACGAGGAGGCACAGAGAGAAGTAACTGGGGCAAGACCCTTAGTCCTTTCCATGATAGACACCTCTTGGCACATCCTTTAAGTCAATTCTTATTGCAAACACTGCCTTTTTATCAGTGTATCTGAACGTAGACCTGTACTTTGCCTGATATATATCCCGGGACCACGGTCAGTCAAGAACTTCTGATGGCCTCAACAGGCCAGGCTGTGAAACCACACACAGTGCCTAGTCTCAATATAGTTCCATGGCCCAAGGTTAATTCTCTAAGAACTAATTTGAAGAAACAAATTCACTGAATGCCTATTTGCCTAATGACCAATTTTCCAAAAACATGCTTTCTATAATAGGATTGACTTAAAAAGTGGGCAGCCATTGGGGTTCTATGGGATGGTTTCAAGGGCCTTTGAGTTTTCCAATAGTTTCTTTTTTGCTCCATTAGTCTTAGCTTCATTAGAACCATCTCTTCATGGCAAGTCAAAGCTTCATGTTTTATAGGTTTTTGGATCTGCACCTTTTTGGCATGAAGATTTTTCTTTTTTTTTTTTTTGTATTTCAAATCAGGTATTGTGTATGTCTTAAATGTTGAGAATTTTATAAAAGGTAGAGCAGATTTCTCTTGTCTAACACATTCTAAATCTAGTTTACTACCTAAAGACACGTTAACTGGTTCAAACAAATTAATATTTTGTTTTCGCTTTGAGCAAACCCAAAAGTATTTTAGGATCTAAATTATTAAATACAAAAGAAATGAGTGTTCAGTCCCCCTGGACTAATAGGGCTAAGTGGCTAAAGTGATACAGTTGCAAGAAAGCTAAAAACTAATTGTGTTTCTTAATAACATAACCTTTCATTCATTAATTAATTCAACATGTTGAGTCTCTTTCTGTTGCTAGGCTGTATTCTAGGTACTCAAAATGAAAGAAAAATAGGATATGTTTCTTACTTTAGAGACCATAGAAACTATTCTCCTATATTGAACCTTCTTGGTAAGAGGTAGGATTTATTCTCTTGAATTCATTTACTTTTTTTGGTGCTCATTCTTTTATCCCATTCTACTTTCTACTTTACAAGTATAACTTAAATGCCTTAACCATACTGATTTTTACCTTCATGGCCTGTCCTAATTCTCATGAAAATGCCCTTTCTCATCTTGCATATGCTCACGGTATCACTGGAGACCTCAGTTTTAGCCTCTCAGCCTCTTTCTGTCCATTCTTGCTCTGGCAGCCCCATCCCTTCAAAGGCCATATTAATCTGAAGGCCAATATTGAAGTTCTATGCTGTTACTTGTCAACTTGGATGCAGCGAGTCATCTGACCTGACCTGTGGACACAGCCTCTGCATCTGTTGAGAGGACTAAAGAAGTCTAATTCACAGAGTTACTGCAAGGATAATAGAACTGAGAGGACTGTGTGAGCAATAGCACCAATGTAAGAGTTATTATAGATTTACACACTACTGGTTCTGATGCAGCACATAAGACAAGTACCATGGGAATGCAGAAGAGAAAGCAATTAGGGAGATCAACAAGGTTTCACAAAGCAGCTATGGTGAACTTGGCCTTGAGAGTAGGGTTTTCCTGGTGAAGAAAAACATTCTAGGCAGAAGAAATAGCATACACAAAGACTCAGAGGCACCTAAGAGTCCTGTGTGTTTAGTGAATAATGAACAGAAATTGCCATAGATTAGGTGATAAGTCATTGGTGTTAATTGATAGGTTCGGTAGAAGCCAATTCTTGAAGGGTTTTGTATGCCATAGTAAAGGATTGATCTTTATTTAAGGAGCCACTGAAAAGCTTCATTCATTCTACAGATAACTTTTTTGGTGAGCCAATGTGTGCCAAGCATGGTTGTAAGTACCTGTAATGCATCAGAATAATAACAAAAAAGAATATTCATGTACCCACCACCCAATTTAAAAACTAAGAAGTTTTCAATCCTTATGTAAGTCTCTGTGTTTCCCTTGTCAATGAAATCCTTCTCCTTGCTCCCCAAAAGTAACCCAAACGCTAAGTTTTGTGTTGGTCATTTTCTTGTTTTTCATTTCAGTTTTACTCATATGTGAGGAAAGGAGCTTAAGAAATATTTGCTCAGCTGATAAATAAAAATAAAAATATATGCCCCTGTGTGGGCGGTCCCCAGTGCCCTTTCTCACAGATATTGCTTCTACTTCTGTCGTCATTATAATTCCAGTGCTCTCAACCAGTCTTCCATCCTCAGTTTTCTTGACTTATATGCTGGTGTCTATTTGTATGAAATTGTTCTATCTACTATTGAAGTAACTTTATACAAATTACTCTCAGAATCCCTATTCTTTGACATAGCGCCTATTTATAATTTTTATCTCCTCTTTCTATCTTTATCCACACGTAAGTGGAATAATCACAGTTGTAGATATTTTATGTTTTGTGCTTCAGTTTTTCACTTTGTACTGTTCTGTAGTTTTTGTATTTCTAGATAGTCTTTGTATTAATTATTTTTGTGACTGCACAGTATTCTATCAAGCAAACATATTATAATTTGTTTGATCATAATTAAACTACTGGATAGTCAGGCTGCTTCCCATTTTAAATGATTGTAAGTAACATTGCTGCAAAAACCTTTTCACTTACAAGATTTTTTTGCCTTTTATTTCCTTAGGATATATTTTCATGAATGAGATTATTCAGTCAAAGGCTTGTTGAATTTTGTGGCTCTTGTTACCTGAGAGGCTTGCTTTATTTTTAACATAATTGTTTCTTTTTCTGATTATAAAAGTAATTCATGCTCATTTCTGAAAGATACAGAAACGTGTAAGGAAACAAAGAAACTCCCATAATGTTTCCCTACAAAGGTAACCATCATTACCTTTTTAAGAAATTACCTTAAATTTTTATTTCATCATTAACATTCTGATATATTTATTTCAACATTTATAAAATTGGAATTATGTATTATTTTGTAACCTGTTTTTTAAACTTGATCATTAGCTTTTCCCATGCTATTAAATCTTTTTCAAAGAAAGTATTTTTTAATGGCTACATAGTACTGGGTTGTGTGGCTGGGTATTAATCCCTTGTTATTTAACTTTTTAATGTTGTAAATGAAAATTCTTATATAAACCTTCATGAGAATTCTGATTGTTTTCTTAGTGCAAATGTTTGGAAGTAAAACACAAAATGAAGGATACGAAAACCGTCAGTTTTTGATCCATGCAGGAATCATGCTTCTTGAATCAGAGTAGTCCTTTGCTACCTTATACTTCACTACTCCTATTGCTGCTATAACAGATTACCACAAATTGAGTGGTTTACACCAGGAATCCTCAACCCCCAGGCCCCACAGCAGGAGGTGAGCAGTGGGCTGGTGAGCATTACAGTCTGAGCTCCACCTCCTGTCAGATCAGCAGTGGTATTAGATTCTCATGGGAGCACAAACCCTATTGTGAACTGCACATGCTAGGGATCTAGGTTGCGTCCTCCTTATGAGAATCTAATGTCTGATGATATGTCACTGTCTTCCATCACCCTCAGATGGGACTGTCTAGTTGGAGGAAAACAAGCTCAGGGTTCCCACTGATTCTACATTATAATGAGTTGTGTAATTATTTCATTATATATTACAATGTAATAATAGAAATAGAGTGCACAATAAATGTAATGTGCTTGAATTATCCCCAAACCATCCCCTACACCCTGGTCTGTGGAAAAATCGTCTTCCATGAAACCGGTCCCTGGTGCCAAAAAGGTTGGGGACCACTGACTTAAGCAATACAATAATATCTTACAGTTGTGCAGGTCAGAAGTCCAAAATGGGTTCCACTGGGTTACAGTCTAAGTGCCTGCAGGGTGGTGTTCTTTCCGAAGGCAGTAGGACAAATCCATTTCCTTGCCTTTTCTAACTTTCTGGAGGCTGCCTGCATTCTTTGATTCATGGCTCCTTCCTCCAATTTCAAAACTAGCAATGATGAGCCAAGTCCTCCTCACACTGTGGTCTCTCTGGCTCTCTCTTCCACCTACTTCTTCCACGGATCTTCATGATTACATGCAGCCCACCTGGACTTCCAGTGTTTTTTACATGCCCAGGCACAAAACAGGCACATGGTAAGCATTAGACCGATGATGTGACAGCACATCAGGTAGGAATGAACACAGGGCTGTGAGTTCTGTTGCTGTGACTTTTGGGCTTGGGCAGGTCACTCAGTTCCATTCCATCCAATTCAGTTGGCATTTGTAGCATCCTGTGACAGGTCAGGCCCTAGGAAACAAGCTGAAGACACAAAGAAAAGGGATACAAAATCTCTGCCCTCAAGTAACCTTCAAAATGTACCTGTCTTAAACATTAGGCTTTTATCTACAGAATAGCAACAACAATTGTATTGATCCTAGTGGGCTGTCGTGGAGGTAAGATCCAATTAAGTACATGCAAGCGAACTGTAAAGAGCAATTCAAATGTGGGGAGTTCTTA